TCAGTGCATTTGCACACGCATCTGTAACTGGAGGTCAGTATTTCTGTGTGTTTAATGTGAAATTTACAACTTGAAATGCACAAATTTTAGGCACATTCTACTGAGGTTTTTTTTTTAAAGATTTTACTTATTTATTTTTAGAGGGGAAGGGAAGGAGAGAGGGAGAGAAATATCAATGTATGGTTGCCTCTCCTGAGTCCCCCACTGGGAACTGGCCTGCAACCCAGGCATGTGCCCTGACTGGGAATCAAACTGTGATCCTCTGGTTCCCAGGCCCACACTCAATCCACTGAGCTACACCAGCCAGGGTAACATTTTACTGAGTTTTGACAGATACACACCTGTGTAACCCCACCCCCTATCAAGTAGAACATCACTATCAAATCCAGAAAGTTCCCTTAGTTGCTTCCTAGTCAATCTCCACCTCCACCTTCCTAGAACCAATATTCTGATCTTTTAAAATCTTGGATTCGTTTTCCCTGTCCTGGGGTTTCATAGAAATGGTGTCACACAGTTTTTATTCTTCAGAGCGAGGCTTACAGGAGCTCAGTGCTGTTTTGGAGGCGGCCGTTTTGGTGGCGTACTTACTAGTCTTGTGCCCCCCGCACCGCTGGCTGGTATTCCAGACACGGTGTGACGGTTCTGGTCCGCTCCGTCGAGAGGCACTCGGGCCACTTCCAGTCTTTGGCTATTATGGATAGAACCGTCCTGAAGAGTTTATGTTCTTCTCTCTGGTAAGTACCTCGGAGTGGAACTGCTGTGTGATAAGGTAGGTATTTTCATGTTCTTTTTAAAATTTTTATCTTTCAATTGTAGTTTGCATTCAACGCTATTTTGTATTAGTTTTGAGTGTACAGCACAGTAGCTAGATAGTCATATACTTTATATAAAGTTCTCCCCCAGCTATTTCTAGCACCCACCGTGCATGGTTATTGCAGTATTGACTTGGGGGTGGGTGGGGCGGGGGAAAGTGGTGGTGGGAACATGGAGACAACTGTACTTGAACAACAGTAAGACAGTAGTATTGGTTATGTTCCTTATGCTGTACTTTATGTCTCTGTTTTGTTACTGCCAATTTGTAGTTCTTAATCCCTTCACCTTGCTCACCCCCTGAACGCCCCTCCCCTCCGGCAACCCCCAGCCTGCTCTCGCTCAGTCTCTCACGTGTATGTAAGAGGCTGCCGGGCCCTTCCCCAAGCGGTCATGCCCGTTCTGCGCTCCCAGACAGCTCAGGGTTCCAGTCCCACAGCTTCACCGCATGGTGTGGTCGGTCCCAACTCTCTGCCATTCTGGTGCGTGGGCAACGATGTCTTGCCGTTTCAATTGCATTTCCCTGATGACTAATGATGTGCTTAAGTCCTTAATATATACTTCCTTTATGAAGTACCTGGACAAATCTTTTGCCCATTTAAAAAATTTGGTTTGTCTTTTAAAAAAAATACATTGTTGATAGACGTTACAGAACAGTTTTAGGTTTACAAAAGTTGAGCAGTAAGCAGAGTTCCTCCTCCCCCATGTCCCGTTGTCACTGTCTTGCATTAGTGTGGCACACTGACTACAGCTGAGGAGCCAATACTGACACATTAACCGAAGTCACGGCTCTTACAGCAGTTCACTCTGTGTAGCACATTCTGTGGGTTTTGACAGAAGAATAAGGATATGTATCCACTGTTGTATTCCACAGGTTGGTTTCACTTTCCTAAAACCCCTTTAAGGCCCCTGTCCATCCTGCCCCAACTCCTGGCCTTTTCCGGAACACCATACCGTTGGAGTCACATGGAGTGTAGCCTTTCCGATTGGCTTTTCACTTAGCAATATGCATTTAAAGTTCCTCCATCTTTTTTGTGATTTGATGGCTCCTTCCTTTTTATTGCTGTGTAATATGCCAGCGTATGGATGTGCTGTTGGCCTTTTTAGTGTTGAGTCCCAGGGATTCTTTGCCCTGGATACCAGTCCACTGCCAGAGAAGGGCTTTTGTAAGTATCTCCGCAGTTTGTGGCATACTTATCCGTTTTCTTTATGGTATCTTCTGATAAGCAGATGTTTTTAATTTCGATGAAGTCTGTAACTTTTTGTTACTGTTTTCTGTGACTCAAGAAACCTGTGCCTTACCCCCAGTCATGAAGATACTTCTTTTAATGCTTTCCATGAAAAGAATTACGTGTTACCTTTTACCCTGAGGTCTAGGGTCCATCTCGAGTTGCTATTTGTGGATGGTATGTGACAGTGGTCAAGCTTCTGATTCTTTTTTTCTAAATGAACATCCAGTCATTCAGCAGCATTTGTTAAAAAGACTGTGTTCTCCACGGACTGCGTTGGGGCCTTTGTTAAAAGGTAAGGACCGAGCAAGTGTGGTTATTTCCAGGCTCTCACGTGGCTGCGCCGGCTTGTTGCTAGTGCCCTGCTGAGAGAGCATATACTTTCTAGCTGGTCTTTAAACATGTAGTGTCAGTCTTCCAACTTGTTCATTTTCCTCAAGATCGCTTTGCTATTATAGTTACTTTGTATTTCTATATATCAATTTCAGGATTCGTTTTTAAATTTCTCTTTAAAAACCCGTTAAAATTTTTTATTCTCATAAAATATACATAACTAAAAATGTTTACTTAACTAAAAAGGACTTTAGCCATTTTTAGTTCAGTGGCATTGTAACTGCCAGAACTTTCTCATCTTCCCAGACAGAAACCCTGTGCCCACTGAACACTAACTCCTGTTGCCCCCTCCCTTTACCCCAGTAACCTCTATTTTTCTCTGATTTGTGTATTCTGGACATTCATGTAAATAGATTTATACAATAGTGAATCTTTTGTGTCCAGCTAATTTTACCTAGCACGTTTTTAAGATTCATCTGCGTTGTGGCAGGCACTGGAACTTCCCTCCCTCTCGTGGTCGGGTGCCTCACTGCACATTTTCTCCTGTTGGTGGGGCTGCGCCGTCCCTTTGCGGATGGTTTCCTGTGCTGTGCAGGAGCCTTCTAGTTTGCTGGGGTCGCACTTGTCGGTTTCTGCTTTTGCTGCCTGTGCTTTGGGTGTCATTAAAAAATTGTTGTCAAGGCCAACATCAAGGAACATTCCCCTTGTTTTCCTGTAGTAGTTTTGGGTGTTATGTTTAAGTACTTAATCCTTTTAAATTGTTATGAGTGGTGTCCAGTTTCATTCTTCTGCCGGTGATTATCTCGTTTTTCCACCACCATTCATAGCAAAAACACCGTCCTTTCTTCATTGGGTTTTACTGGCTCCCTTGTCAAATGTTGCTTGACTGTATCCATGTGGGTTTATTTCTAGCCCCTCAATTGGATTCCATTGTTCTCTGTATTTTTATGACAGTACCACATTTCTTTGACTACTATACCTTTGTAATACAGCTTGAAATCAGGGACCGAGATGCCTCCAGCTTTGTTCTTTCTCCACACTGCTGTGGCTGTTCAGGGTCTTTTGTGGTTCCGTACAAACTTTAGGGTTTTTTCTATTACTGTGAAAAGTGCCATTGGAATTTTGATAAGGATTGCATTGAATCTGTGGATGGTAAAATAATGTTTTTATGATTAAAACCTACAATGGGTTATCAAGAAGCAGTCAAGGCTGTGGCACTTAATCTTTAAGAGAATAAACTCATGATCAATGTTGGCTCCAAGCTCCACCAAGATTAGACATTTTTGGCTCAGTTCTATCCTGCCTGTTCTCCAGGATTCAGTTGTGATTTCCTTCAGAATTATAGTTGGTTATTATTCCTGTCTCATTTTAGGTTCAAATAAGAGTCATGTTATTTGCACACAGTTCCACAGCAGTGAATTTGAGACCATCTGATGTTCTCTGCCTCCCCACCGTGTGGCATGAAACAGTGAGACAACAGTCAGCTGTCCTTTAGGACTGGAGGGAAACTCAGGGCCAAAGAAGTGTCTGCCGCCCTCACCCACCACTTTCCTGGGCTCACATGGTTATGTGGTCACATAACTTTGCAGACTTCTTCACTCTTACTTCTGCTGACACATTGTTACAGTTTGGGAAAGCCAACACCTGCTGTTACGGGGCAACGAGAGGGCCAAAAGCTCCCTGCTCCTCAGGGACCTCGGAGAGGAGGCTTGTGAATTCACTGGAAACGAAATGGCCTGGCAGGCAGGTCTCCCCCCCTGGATAGCTCCTGCACCCTGACAGTCACACAGGATGTTAAGGCAGAAGCCACTTACTGGCTGTGTTTTGGGGAAACTCACTGACCTCAGTACCCCAGTTTCCCCGTCCAGCACTCTCACTGCAGCCCAGTGGCGAGAGCTCGGAGCCAGCAGCCTTGGCTAAACCACACCAGACTCCCGGCACCCAGGGACGGTGAGGTACTGTTTGCTGTTTTGGGGTAATTTGTTACATAATAGATATATCACTACTTAGATTAAAAAACAGAAAAATCAAGTTCCTTCTTGCTACTTGTAGCGTTATTTAACTTACTATTTAACCAAGGTTTTGTCGGGTTGAATAGAAATTTTCCTAGGTGTCCGACTCTTCACCAGGTCAGTAGTGGTCAGCGGGCTGCATCTGTAGCAGGGCCGTGACCATGCTCGGAGGCAGGCTTGCCCTTTCCTCTGCGTCGCCCATGAGCCACTTGGTGCGGCCCGAGCCCCGGGAGAGTGGTAGCTACTCCTGGAAGGGCCAGCTGTAGATTTCCTCTCTGCTCTAATGCATGTTCTCTGTCCTTCCTCCCTCTTTGCCCTGCCACTAAGTAGGAGGGAATAAGTTGATGAAAACCTTCAGCATTTCTAGGCTATTCCCTGTCAGTTTATTGACTAATTTATAAATAAATGCTATTTCTCTTCAGTAATCACTTCTCAAGGGATCAACACCGTGTGCTCTCCGATCAAGCAGTTAGAGGTCAGACTTAGATTTGTCCAAGTCATTCCAGAACGTACCACCATGAGGACATTTAAGTAAAATAACCATTCTGATTGCTTTTGAGCTCCTTTTTTTAGTTTTTGTATTTTCATGATTTAAAAAACTTGATTCTCTCCAAAGTTTTATTAGGAAGTGTACCTTTACTTGATGCTGTTTAATAAAATCTTCCCCACTCAGGACCCTCCCCAGAAATGTAAGGCTGGTATTTTCTACACACATGCAGTTCAGGTAAGGTTACGTACCTTTTCATACAATTCTAAGAAAAATATGGGTGTTATATTAAAAAAAGCCAGGTTATATGAACAGACCAAAGTAAAATTTGCTATAGTATTTTCTAAGTTTATGCTCTTCTACATATTTTCATATTTTTCAGATACTGTCAGTATAAATCGTAGGTTTAACAATTTAGCCTGCAATTTGCATAAGCAAAATTTGCAACAAAGCAGAGATGGACACTTCTATAAAAACTAAGTTTTATTAACAAAATGGGCCCACAATATAAAAACAGATAAGTGGGTTCATTTTACTAGTTTGGGGGGTCACCTGTCTTACTAGGTGCAGCACTGCAGACGAGCAGGTGAAACAGTCACTAGGTCCCGGCCCAAGGCCCCTGACGAGGAGAAACACGCACCGGCCACTGAAGACAACAGGTCAGCCACCCAGTCACTTCCCCGTCCACCCGACCTCTCGTGCTGCCCGAGAGCCACCAGGCCTGGGAACAAAGTCTGAAGCTTAAAACAGACGTTCTTGCCTGAAACAGCGCTGGCACCCCAGGCCAGGAGGTGCCGGCCATCACTCCTGACAGTGTCCCTCCAGAGGACAGACAGTACAAAGCACAGCTGGCCGGCCAGCCCGAGGGTGAAGGACGGTGGCTCGCAGGGGTTCCCTCTAGAACTTCTGCAGGAATTTGAGGACGAGGTCCCGCAGCCGCACCCTGAGTGTCTCATCATTGTCACAAATGATATGGGTGGAATCTTCCTCAATCTGGATGAGTGTCTCGGCTTCTTGGAGCAGCACGATGTGGCCCTTGGCTGTGTCTTCCACTTTAATGTCACTGAAACCGTGCTGCTCCCAAAGAAAAGAGAAGGCGGTTGGCGGGGGCCCTGAGGAGCTGGGCTGACTGAAAGGCCGGCAGGCGTGTTAGCTACCGAGACCTCTAGAAGTGGCCCCACAGACAGCCCTCCCTTCAGGGAGAGCTAAATGCCTGATGGAGAAAAGCCCTAATAGAGAGAAAGCCACTGAGACACTCGGTGTGGACAAAAGGCAGTAACTAATAGTTTAAAAGAAGAAAATCTCTTTTCCTGGCACTTTTTATTGGAGTTAGTTGCCATTCTTGCAAGCAGCAGCATGAAATACGTTTAGCCAATTCCTTCTTTCTAGCAAGGATTCTATAACTGATCCTAAAACAGTGATCTCTGGAGTTCTGCGACTGAAGCCAACATTCTAAAAACCTTTAAAAATTTTTTTCCTTACAATTACAGTCAAGAAATGTATTCCGTGGGAGGAGCGGCCACTCGGGTGAGGGTGTGGGACAGGTGCTGAGATGGAGCAGGACCACTTCTCCAAGGTGACCGCCTCTCCTCTCTCCCCCCGCCCCTGCCAGGGAGCGGCTGGGCCTGGCTTCCCGGACCTGGGGCCCAGCAGTACTGCTGCCCTCTGTCCCCGCTGCCTCCAAGCTGACCTCATCCCCTGTGGTGTGGCCAGGTAGGAAAATGAGGCTCTGAGGGCGCAGACCCCTCTTTACCCCACCCTGCCCATCGGTCTCCTAGCTGCCTGTACTTGATGGGAAGGAAGGGGAAGTCCGAGAAGCAACAGGGGAACGTGGGGAAAGGTGGCACACTCCTCTCACCTCTGTAACTGTCCCCTGCTTCTGTTCCCCGGCATGACCTTGGACCAAGCGACAGTAGCTCAGACCGCGGAGTAAGTAGAAAAGCAGCACGTTCCCCGCAGCAGGAGGCCACACGGGGCTGGAAGGACGGCCCCGTGGGTGGGACAGCGCTCACCTTCTCCAGCGTCTGCACGAACTGCTCCACGGGGATGCAGCCGCTCAGCAGGGGCTTCGGGGCCTTGCAGTCCGGGATGTCGTCACTCGCCCGCTTCCTCTTCTTACCACCCGTGGGCTGGGCGGGCCTGGGCAGGGGCTGGGTGGGAGGGGGCACGGTGGCATCAGGACCCTCCCCAGGGCAGAGGAGGTCTGGCGGCCCCGTCTCTGAGTAATCGTTTCTCTCCCCTTTTCTTATATGTGAAATAAGCGGTGCAGAGTTTACACCAGGTGCCCTCTGTTTCACACCGAATCCATGGACTCGTCTGGCTTCCAGCGCTTGCCGGTTTGGGAGGCAGTGTCCCAGGAGCTGGCAGCACGTTAGGACCTTCTTGCGGGAAGGGTTCCGGTCGCCACTGGGCCAGGGATCCCACAGGTTCGTGCCCCCCGCCCCCCCAGGTACCTGGAGGACGTGCTTGTTATCCTTAGTGTGCAGCACGGCCGAGACGGTTGCCAAGGAAATGCCAGGTTTCATCTCCACGGGCACCAGCGAGTCGGCAAGCTGGAAGCAAACAGGGTTTCAGTGCGGTGCACCCTGGTCTCGGGGCATGCGGGGGGACGGACACACAGCCGGTGGGGAAAGGTGCCAGTCTCCCAGTGTCACAGAGCTGAGCCTGTGGAGATCACCGTTATTTCCCTTCTGAATTTTTATTTACCTTATTGCAATCTAAAATGACCAGCTAACTTTAAGGAAGAAAGAAGGTAAAAAAAATTAAAAATTTAATCAAACATACATCCCACATCTAATACCTCCTGCGATAAAGGGAGAGAAGATGGAGGAGGAGGGCTGGGGGTGGGTGAGCCGGGCTGAGGGGAGGGAGCGAGCCGACCGGGGGTCCCGAGGCCTCCTGCACGGGCACTGCTCCTCCCTCTTGTTCGTCAGCCCCTGAAGGGTGACAGCCGCCCCGTCTCCATCCTTCAGGGCCCTGCGAATGTGCGACAGCGCCCCTCTTCTCATTGCCTTTGTTCTAACGTGTTTTTCATAAAAGATATTTTAGTTAACATCTAATGGGTTTATATTATTTTAAAATACCTTCACACATATTTTTAAATGTCTCAGTTTTAGCTTGTAGTACAGCGAACACCAATCGATATCACCCACATAAGCAGAAGCTTTTGGGGCTGTGATCTGTAACGAGTCTGGACACCGGCAGGTTGGAGGGCTGCTGGCTCTGGGGCTGGAGTCCGAGCCTGACCCTTCAACCCCACTGTCCAACACTGGGCGGGAAAGTACATACCAGGCGGAGACAGTCCGAGGGCACCGGCGTCTCTCACTTTGACACGAGCAAAATGCAGAGGAAACGAAAAGCAAAATCTCACACATTCAACAACCTTAATGTCTAGACATGCAGATGATTAGCTCCACATTTGTGTTACAAACAGCGAAACAAAAACTAGGCCCCTTTCTGGAGGGGGAACTTGCTTTCACCTCTCCCCTGTCAAAAGGAAAACCTATCAGTGCCAAATTATGGAAACAAAACAGGGCCCAACACCGGCGATATCAACCTAATGCGTCAGGCAGCTGAAGTCCTGAAGCAGAGCCGTTCTTTCAAAGCTCCGGCCCAAGGTGTCGGAGGGCCCCGAACTCAGCCCACCTGCAGGAGGTGCAGCTAGTGACCCAGGACCTGCCGAGGCCCAGGTGGGGACAGGGCGGTCGCAGGGTCAAAGCTGCTAGTCTGCGCCTGTTGGGTGTGAGGGAGGGACTTTGTGAAGGACAAAACAGGGTGCTGTGTCCCCTGCCCCTCTCCAGAGCCAATCCCTTCTCCAGCTCAGTGTCAGAAGGCGTATGGGCAGGTATATTCTTTTCTTTTGGTGATTTAAAATGGAAATGGACAAGCTAACATGATTATTTAATCCTGGATAAACCCTGGAATGAGAAATGCCAGAAATTAATTAAGAGGATGGTTTCTCTGCAGATGTCTTAATGTTTTCATTTTTGTCTTGAAAATGACATCTGGCTTCCTTTTGCCTCTAGCACTGAAAACTGGGGCAGGTCTGGGACTCGGGCGGGGGCCTCACACTCTGCACCTGCACCAGACTGCTGGGCCGGCCTGATCCAGCAGGCGGAGGCCGGGCTCGAACCCGCAGTTCCGACAGGTCCCCAGGGCAGGAGCAGGGGGCCACTCGGAGCACGCCGCTTGTAACAAGCTTTTCTGCCTCGTTTTACTCTCTGTTGAAAACATGCTCAAGCCACCCGAAAAGGCAAAAGGAGCCGGAGCACTTGCTGCAGGGCTTCCCACGCCGTCCGTCATTACGGGAGCTGCGTTTCGCTCCTGCCTGCCTCCCCCAGACCAGCCACGCCGGCAGCACGCCTGACCTTTCCCCATTAAAACAGGCCCCGGTCCATGTCACTGAAATATTTAGGCTTTGATAGATCCCATCAATGGCTCGCAACCCTTAATAAAGTTTAACATTCCTTACTTTTGGTCATGCTTATCTCCTCCATTTATCCCTGAACTTGGTGAAACCTGGCCCTCACTTGTAAATGAGGTCCAGGAAGCAGGGGAAACCCCACAACCCTAAGGTGGCTGAGGCACCAGCATCTCTGGTCCCCAAGGCCCTGGCCTGGTCCCTGGTCTCCCGGATCACAAACTTGTTCCTCGGAGCAGCAGGCCAGCAGGCCCGATGTTAACACCTGTCGCTTCATTACTTGAAAAATCAGAATGACACAGTGAAAAGCCCACCTCTCTTCCCACCTACTTGGCTTATGGGTCTAAGGGATTCTTTGGTTCAACCACATCTGACCCAAACCCAAAAGAAAGCTAGAGTCTTCTTCCAGAGACCCAAGCGATAACCCGAGCTTAACCTTGAGGAAGAGAACGGCTCACCTCCGGCATGATTTCGATCTTCTCATACCGCCGCTTGAAGGGCAGGGCGAGGACCTCGGCCCGCCGGTAGGACATGGGCGGCGGCTGGCAGTCGATCATCAGGTCCATCCTGTGGGGCTGCGCGGGGGGCGGCTGCGTGTACTGCTCAGGACAGACCACGTGCAGGGGCTGAGGGGCAGACGGGCGGGGAGGGAGCAGGCTGTGAGGTAGAGTGGCGTAGGTAAGGCCCACTCCGTACCTAATGCTGCTGTCTTGGATGCCCAGGCTCAGCACGCCCAGGCTTTTTTGAACTTTCCTTTCAAACCCGAGTAATCAGGGGAGGAAAGTACGAATCTACGGTGAGGCCTTGAACTGCCAGCCATGTTGACAAGCAAGGGATTCAGGCCTCCGTTTGTATTTGTATTTGCTTTTTCACGAGACTTGAGCTGCTTTGGTGGTGACTATTACCACGTGGTCTCTGAGCCCCTTGTCCTGCCATCACGGCTGGGGCTTGCTCTCAGCTGACTGGCCAGCTGTGACTTCTCGTGCTAGTCTGGTGTCTGCAGGTCCACGGGTGCTGGACAGTGGGCAACGGTCAGGTCACACACTCAACTGCAGGACAGACAGAATCAGGTAGAACTCTTTTCTACACATTCTCTTTTGCAAAGCCATGTGCACTTTGGACAAACATCACCCAGCTGAAAACTGATCCTGGCAGCTGACAGAGTCAAAAGGCAGAGTCACCGCTTTTACTTAAGAATTTGGAATGGGCCTCAAGTTCCTGGAAGAATAAGCTTCCCAATAGGCCGAACTGGTTGCATTTAAAACAGTGCTGATTCCTCAGGGCTCCTGCTCCTTTTGTTTTTCTTCCTAACCTGGTCGTATCTTATAACTGTCTGAAAGCCATCCGGCTCCAGTTTCAGCCTGAGGACCTTCCCCGTGTTTCCCTCTCACACCGGACACCAGGTGGCCTCCTGTTTCCGACATCGGCACATCACCAGGGGGCTGGCTGAGCACACCGCTGGCCTGAGGAATACGGTGTGAAGTTACCCAGTAATGAAAACAATAGGCTTTTCACCGTGTCTTCCAGCGTGCGGAGGACACAGTGGGCTATCGAATCACCCCCCGCAGGCCAAAGCTGGCTGGCTGCTCCCATCACATCTGCAGAAAGTCCGCACTCTTTCCCTCCGGGGCCGGCAGGCTCCTGAGCACTGCCGTCCATTATCCCTGCATTCCTGAGGGTCTGCAGCTTTCCCTTCCTTTGAGTTCTGTGCTGGCGCCTCTCACCCAGAGGTCAAAGACTCTGCGAAGAGGAGGAAAGCGAACTTCTGACCTTGGCCAAGACGTGAAGGGCTAACCACCAGCTGAAGTTGAGAGAAGAGCTGGGGCACCTGGCCCCGGTGGAAGGTCCTGAGAAAGCCGAGGGGATGGGGACTCGGAGATGTCCCTCTGGCCCGTGCCGAGGACACGCTGCCTTTCTCCACCGGTCTGACCAGCCTCCCGTTCACTCATCCGTCAGACACATGCCCCCAGTGGTGGCTGACCCGGGGCGGTGGGTCCCCCTGCTCTCCCTCTACATTCTCCTTCTGTCCAGATCTCTTCCTTTCACCTTCCACGTTTCCCCAGCTACTTCCCCTCCTCTGTGGCAGAAAATGCAAAATGGAAAAACCCAAAACACAAAAGCTGGAAGAGACCAACTTCTCTAAAACAGCAAACAACACCGTGGTGACCACCCAAAGGTGCAGCGAGGGCCCAGGAGTGTTCCGGCCGCCGGGCAGCTGTGGGGGAGGGGCAGGCGGCGCTCCCTGGACACAGGTGGCCCTCACGGAGCACCTTGTGGCCCTCATGCCTTTTTGTCCTTCCAATTTTGATTTCTTTAGAAAGGGAACTTCTTTCAGCACTTGGAGGGGGCAGAGTGACCAGCAGTCCGTGTCCCAGCGCCCTGCAGTCACTGAGCAGTGAGGAAGACAGGAAACGCCAGGTACCCGCCCCTCAGCACAGCTCCACCCCACGGAATCACTGGCCCCGTTTCCATGGTTACCTGCACTTCTTTGAGCAGCTTTGACACCTGGATGAAGTTCAGTCGTGTGTCGATGGGGCAGTAAATGCATTTCATGGCCAAGGGCTGGTAGGGAGCCAGCGCCTCCAGGTACGAGAAGTCGGGCTCTGAGGGAGCACAGAAGAGACAGTGTAAGCCGCAGGCGACAGGGGCCTCTGGCATGAGCAGACAGCTGTAGGGGGAGGTGGGCGTGAGCGCGAGGGCTCGGCAAAGGGGGGATGAGGGGAGGGATGAGTAAGAGGGGAAAGCTCTTCTGTGCAACAAAATGGTGACTATAAAAGAAATGACGCAATTAAAACAAATCACCTTTTGGCAACCATCACAGCAACAACTTATTCAGCCCAGAAGCATCAACAGCTGCTAAAAAAATGTTAGATGAAAACCTGAGGAAGGCCCTGGCTGGTGTAGCTCAGTGGATTGAGCACGGGCCTGTGAAGCAAAGGGTCGCTGGTTCGATTCCCATGCCTGGGTTGCGGGCCTAGTCCCCAGTGGGGGACACATGAGAGGCAACCACACATTGAGGTTTCTCTCCCTTTCCCCCTCTCTAAAAATAAATAAGTAAAAAATATATATAAAAAAAGAAAACTGGAGGAAGACCAGGATGCATGGACTCTGCCCCCACAACAGACAAATTCAAAGCCGTGCTTTCAGGGAAGGCACTGGCATGGACCGCGCGGGTGAAGAGCTCCCAGCTCGCGCCCGGGTTGGAGACACACTGCACACCATCTGCTCGTCTGCACAGCCCTGGAAGACACTGGAAATGACCTTGACCCACATTAGCACCGTGCTTCCGCTGAGACTGCTGTACTCCTGCCGGCAGAGCCACGCACCAGGATGGAATCCGGGCTCGTCCTGTGGCCGGTCTGCTCCCTCTGGAGCCGCTCTCGCCGATGCTGGGCAGGGGCTACTCACGCCGCCGAGGATGCCGCCCACCCTGAGCCAAAGGACCGGCTGCTTCCCAGCATGGAAGAGGCTCTCCCACTCCAACTCGGCCTGCGGGCTGGCTCTGCCTGCCGGGTCGGCGTGGTCCGGGCGGCTGCGGCCAGCCTAGATTAACGCCCGCCCGTGGACCCTGTTTCCTCAGGAAGAGCACCCAGGAGCCCACACGGGGCTGGCACGGGCTGCGCGGGAGGGACAGCTGACCCCCCGCCACGTGCAGTGCGAGCTGCAGTCCCGCCTCGGCTGCACGCCACGGGCGGAAATGGTCCCATGCGCCACGTTGGGGGGGGGTGGGAAACGGTTGGGAACTCCCGACGCTCGTGGACATCATGGATGACACAACAGCCACTCTGGACGCCCCACAAACCAGCTTAAATTTAAGTTCATTACCCAGAGCTGCGACAGACAATGGCAGAGTCCTTGAGTTCATGGAACTGGCTGAAGAAAAGTCCCCACAGTGGCGACCACCTGCCACGGCACCTATGTGAGTGCCGCACCACTGTCGTATCCGAGTCCGCGTCACCTCAGGAAGGACAAGCGAGACGCCTCAGTCCCACTACAGCTACGTTCCCCTGACGACCTGCCTGGCCACACTAGACAACGGGAGGCTCTGGGGGGTCACGAGCCAGTGTTTCGTGGCTGACTTCCTCCGCCTTAGGCTGAAAGGGGACCCAGGAAACTAGGAAAGCATCCCGACAGCTGCTTCTCTGAGTCTGGCACTTTCTGCAAGGCCTTGGTGTTAGCAGGAGCGGCCTGGCCCTCTCGGCCAGCCAGGAGGTGGGACGTAAATGGTTTCAAAACCACCAGAGAAGGCTGACCACACTGGGCCCGAACCAAAACAAGGCCTCTCCGTAACCACGCCCGCACACTCGCAGACCCACAGCGCTGCCCCAACCACAGGGTGCGCCGCCATCACCCTGTCCTGGCTCCAGTCCACCTGCCTTCCAGCGACGGATCTTTCAGACACCCAGTCACAGAGCTGTTCCTGCCTCCCAACTGCACCCAGCCCAGGGCGGCGTCCTGCGTCCGCGAACCCACCTCAAAGTCACCAACAGGAGCCCACGGCCACGGGAATCCGTATTTGAAATGCTCCGAGATGCCTCTCGCTTCGAAGCTGTGGGCACAACTAGACTCTGCTCCGTTACTTAAGTCTCAACAGTGGTCAGAAAACTCTAAGACAGCAACTGACCCACAGCTTCATGTGCAGGCTCAGTAGAAAGTGCCTTCTCTCAGCGATCGCCAATGCACAGGCTGCCCAGGGAAAGAGCCGCCAGGCGCCCGTGGTCCCAGGAGGAAAGTGAGGCTCAGGGAGCTGAGGTCACGCGGCTGAGCTACAGGAAGCCGGACCCGACTTCGGAGCAGGGTTTTCCTCACAGCTCGTAAGATGTTCAGATCCCAAGGCTATCAGAAGATGTTAAATTGATCAAATATATAGTGATTAAATAAAACCCTTACTTGATCTCATAAAAGGACTTATTTTACTCTGAGGGGTTCATTCTCCAGAAAAACCCTGCAAGCCAGAGTGAGCGTTAACCAGAGGAGAAACAGCCACTTCGGGAAATGACTCCTAAAGCATCGAACAAGGCCGGCGGCTAGTCCAGGTCTGGAAGGGCTCGCGGAGCCCCGCCCAGGGCAGTGGGGTAAGCTCCGTCTCGGGGAAGACTCCACAAACCGAGACTCGAAAGTTTTGTCTAGTACAGTCATTTAACAAGACAGCCTGCTTTATCTGACTCTTCTCCTGTGGTTTTCTTATCCTTTGGTGTTTATAACAAGAGTGTTCATACTTATGCCTTATTTTTAAACTGTCCCTAGGTCTCTACCCAGTGGGCGCATCAGTGATGGTCCCAGTGGGAAGGCCAGAGGATGGAATTACCTGTGAATATGACAGTGTTGAGACTAGACTTTCCCCAGAGCTCCATGAAATGGACCACGTCCCCAAACCGGAGAGAAGGGTGCCCCGTGAAGACCACGCACGGCTGCCTGAAATCGTTGCTGAAGTCGCCGTGGATGCTGGGGTAGTGCTTCAGCTTGTTGGTCTGAATGAGCTACAACAGATACAGAAAAAGCACACGAAGAACTGTTAGCCTGTCTCAGTGGGAGGAAGACCCACACCATCTGAGCGTAACCAGAAGTAAATTAAAAATACAAACAAGTCTTATTATAGTTGGCCAAAGACTGAACTCTTACCTACAATGTAACTTTTTAACAGGTGGACCTTTTAACACTGTTAATATGCTCAGTGGGAACCTTTCAGGTTGCTGCGGCCTGACGCCGTCTTAGTCGGGAGACTGTATGGCTTCCCGACACTCCTGCCCGGGCCCAGGAGTCCGCAACACCAGTTACCGTCTCAAGTGCAAGCAGCCTTCCCAAAACATGGGAACCGGCACGTTCTGTCGCCACAGACACCCGAGGCAGAGCAACTATTACCGATGCGGGGCCTCCTCGAGAAGTTACGGCTGTAAGTTACTGTGGTGACTTAATAAAGACGGAGACCAAACTGGCCTTCAGAAATCCAGGCCATGTGTCGTCCTCATGACACAGAGGGCCACAGTAAGAAGCACACTGTGCGCACGCTCAAACCCATCTCAAGAGTTTATGTTTTGGTGCTGGCCGGGTGGCTCAGTTGGTTAGAGCGTCATCCTGTACACCAAAAAGATTGCAGGTTTGATCCCTGGTCAGGGCGCACGTGAGAGGCAACTGATAGACGTCCCCCCCTCCCCCAACTTCCTCTCTCTCTAAAAATCAATAAACGCACCCCCGGGTGAGGATTAAAAAGGACTGAACCAAAATCATCTCCCTCCCAGCCCAACACTTACAACACCCTCCCAATGTCAGCATCGCCAAGGACAGACACAGCCACAGCCAGAGGCTCAGGACCCCTGCCCAGACCCTCCGCCTGCTCGCTCTACCTGGCCCCACCCCCCACTCCAGTATCGGAAGGTCAGGCGACAAAACCCAGACATCAGAGACCCTACACACCAACTAAGCCACAGTGACTGTCGTCCAGAGAAGCTGTTTAGTGGACAATGACTTGACCTGTGGCCCAGCTGCATCCTGCAGCAGCCCTAAATGCAGAAGAGGGGAGCCCCGCCAACACCTCCAGACCAACTGAAGTCACCCCGGTAGTGAGAATGTGGCCAGAATGGGACAGTCTCCAAATGTAGAGATAAATCTTTAATTCAGAGAGAACTGCTTTTATTTGTGAGACAGCACAACTAGCCTGGGGATCTCTGTCAGGTGTCGCCATCGGGTGCTCGGGGTCCAGGGGTTGGGGAGTGTGCACAGCAGATGGCAAGCACTGAACCCCACGTTCCTTCCGAGTTCCATGCAAACAAAACCAGCTGGCTGAAATCATGCCTGGCCCCAGGTAAATGGGTGAGCGGTTGTCTGAAAGACTAGGAAGTCCACTGTCCCGGAGCCGCCGTGGGGACGAAATAGCAGAAGGTCTGCACGAGTGACTCAGGTCACTTTTCAGGAGTCACCTGCAGTTCCTGCATTTCTCCTGGCCAACACGTGGAGACTAAGATACAGTCATCTCTCTCTCTGTCGACTGGACCGAGCTGTCCCACTGACATACTACATTCGACCAGCAGAACTACTTGTGCTTGGGCAGAGACTGTCGGTTTTCTGAAGTAGTCACACACCACCTTAAACATCTTAAAAATGTACACATGCATCATAGATTTCATAACATGTGCGGACATAAAACACATAAAAGGAAAACAGGAGCAGCGCTACTGTCTGACAGCAGGAAACGGTTAGGTGCACGGCAGCTGTCCCCACAGGTGCTGTGGGCCACCAGGTGGCGACAGCCATGACGTGAGGCACACGGCCACACACAAACACACAAACACGCCCCAGCTCTGCAAGCGAGGGACGTTTCCCATTTCGCACTGAGGCACAGCTGGTGTGTGACACAGGTTTCAGGTGCACGACGCCACATCTCGGTGTCTGCAGATGTCGCAAGGGGTCACTGCAGTAAGTTTGGCTGACATCTGTCACCGTGTGGCCACAACAGTTTTCTTCCCTGTGATGGGAACATTGTGACCCGTGCTCTTCATGAGGTCCAAATGCTCAGGGCAGCACCAGTGACCACGGCCACCACGCCGTGCACATCAACCTGACTCCCTGTTTTATAACTGGGGGTTCATGCCTTTGACCCCCCTATTGTTAAACTGAAAGGTTATTATTTTCGCCATTAAAACCTACCTCTGTGATTAACAGAACTGGAAAGAACACTTTACAATAAGAACCTAAGAACCAGTTATGCAAAGAAGTCAGCAGTAGGTGTGAGAGCAGGATCCTCCGCCAGCCAGCAGGACAGAGGTCGGCCATGAGGGTGCCCTGGGGACATGCTGCCCTGGCACCAGGGGGAGGCAGTGAGTCTCATCTGTCACCTCACACAGGAAATAAAGGGCTCGGTGAGCTTGTGCAAGGGTTTTTAAAAAATACGACCAGAGACACTGAAATGAAGAACAATCTGGCAGTAACCAGAGGGGAGGAGGGAGGGGCCGATGGGAGGGCGAAGGGGAGAAGGGTTTTCAGGAACAACTGTAGAGGACATGTGGACAAAGCCAAGGTGGAAGCTGAGGAGGGAGGTGGGGATGGCTGGGGTCGGGGGGAGTGGTGAGGGGTAAATGCAGACAACTGCACTTGAACGACAATAAAATAATTTAAAAAATGGAATGGCCTGCTCTCCCCACCACATCTATTAATCTATACTACTTTCTTGCTATGACCCCAGTAGGCCATTTTCTTACCTCTGCATGAGGAAAAGGTGGTTCTGGGAGATACACCTTAGTCTGTTTGTTGTGACAAAGCCTTGAGGAGGAGAAACAGAGAAGCCAGTCAGGTAGCGCACACAGGGTCACTTGCTGCCACCTAGTGGTGGCAGCGCAAATAATAAGTACTGAAGTTAAAATGTTCCTGCCACTCACCTCACTGTTAATAAAACCCAGCAATTACAGAGCGCTCAGGTAGAAATCTCTTGTCAACATTTTTTCAGCCTTTAAAACCCTCACTAAATTTTTTTCTTAAGAGGTAACCTTGTTATTTCGGGATAATTTTGGATATACAGGGAAGTTGCAGAAACAGGGTCCCCGGTGTCAGTGCCATACACAACAACAAGCCTGTTATACTGAAAGATTGACCTCAGTGCTTCACAATTAACTAAATTCCAGACTGCACTGCTGCTTCACCAGTTTTCCACTCGTGTCCCTTCTCTGCTCCAGGATCTAATCCGAGATACCATGCCAAGTTGGTTGGGCTCAATGTTGGAGAGAGGGCCATGCCTTTTTCAGAGCCTTAACTTCTGTCTTTCTCCCCACCGAGCACCTGTGGTAGCTCAAACTGGAGAGTAACTGAGAGACGCCTCGAATGTCTTAGGTGGAGCGTGTTTACAGTCCTCCTGACAAACACCAACAGTGCACTCGTGGGATGGATGTGGAGTCCAGGAGAGGACCTGGACCACGACTAAAAGGGGGGGGTGTCCTTAAGAGAGTGGGTGAAGGGCAGACAGAATGGTGTTCACACCCCCTTCCGATGAGAAACTTAGGAGAACACCACACCAGGGTTAAATACACGCTGAGTATGTGTGTTTTCACACCCGAGTGTTTGGAAATGCGTCTGAGGCACAGCTGGGTCCACTGCAGAAGTCGGCCCACTTCCTCCCTCCCTCCCCTCTCTGGTCAGGCGAGTTAGATTCAAACAGGCATCTACATGGTCCCAACCGGTTCACTGACGTCGTGTGCTTGCTCCAGCAGCACATGCATCAAAACTGGAACAACGCAGAGATTAGCACGGCCCCTGCGTGAGGGCGACACGTAAATTCACGAGATGTTCCCTAATTCTATCTATAACCAGAGACGCTGAAATAAAGAACAAACTGACAGTGATGGGGGGAGGCGGATGGGAGATAAGGGGGGAAAGAGGGGTGAGGGTTGTCAAGGAACATGGATAAAGGACCCACGGACGAAGCCCAAGGGGCCGGACTGAGGGTGGGGTGGGTGGGGCGGGGGAAAGTGGTGGTGGGAATACGGGAGACAACTGTACTTGAACAACAATAAAAAAAAAGATTAAAAAAAGCTTCACTGACTTCAGACTGTTCAGTAACTCACCCACCCTAGATCTGATCAAGCCATTTCCCGCTGTAATAAAACTTAATTTTGTCAAATAGCGTGCTATTAAGTGAAAATTATATATAGTTTTTCTTTTAGATTTGGTATTATAAATTTAGACAACATGGGCTTGGGCTTTAAAATCTCCCTTTTTGAATGCAATTTTAAGAGGCAGAAGATGTAGCATGTGAGAAGATAAAAATATAACATTTTTGTCACTAATTTTGAAAGTGCTGGCTATGTTAAGTCTTTATCTTTCATCCTTCCTCCTCTGATAACTATTCTGAACCTCAGCAATATAACACATTTCCTTCCATTACCACGGTCTTCACACTGCAGATGCGGAAAAGCCGGAGAATGAAATTTTCACAGTAGACTTGGGGTGGTGAACACACAATACTGTATACAAATGATGTACTATAGAATCGTACACCTGCAGCCTGTATAATTTCATTAACCAAGATGGCTCCAATAAATTCAATAAAAATAAAAAGAGGGTCCCAATGTAAGGACAAAACAGGATCCTTTCTGCTCTTCCTGCCTGAATGTAGTGCCTCAAAAGGGGACTCAGAATGAAGAATACGACATACCACTCAGCAAAAATCTGGGAAAACTCGAGGGAGCTGTTGGCCACCGGCGAGATGAAGTAGAAGGGGAGGCTGGAGAGGCCGGCCGAGTCGATGTACTGGTACAGGCACTCCAGGAGGTCGTAGATCACGCCGGACGGGTAGCAGGGCACCAGCACGTTCCCGCCGTTCCGGACCGTCAGCGCTGGAAGAGGTGCGGCCGCAAGCAAACGACGGGATCAGAAGAGCAGTTTTATAAAAGGAGGATGAAACTCCTATTTTTATCATTTTTTTTTCCAGAATGGAACTTTTTAAAAATAGTATTTGGGTTTCTTTCACTTCCTATTTTTGTCAGCACGACTCACTTCACAGCTGCAATAACCCGCCGGTTCTGAGGAGCAGCCAGGGTCTGTCACAGTCTCAGTCCCCAGGAGCAGGATGGGCAATGGAGGGTTTGGGTTGTAAAGGTCATTAGTGGCAGCCGAGCTTCAGGACAGAAGACCGTCCCTGCTCCTCTTTGGCTCCTGCTCGGAACCTTGCTGGGTCTGCCTCTGCTCAGCCTCTGACCGCTGCTCAACGACTGAGGTCAATATAGGCCAGTTTTTGCCCCGGACTCATTCTAGTGGCAGTTTCGTTCAGGAATGTTTGTAAGACAGTGCTTCCTACTTCAAATTCCCTCATCACACGAGGCATTGCAGCTTAGAGATATACTTGTATTAGAAGTTACAACAAGCCTTAAAAAGTCTAAGCGCCCTCGACAAGCCCGGCTTGTTGAGCGAAACCGAAACCAGCAGCAGCCCCCGAGTGCCAGCAGGCTTGCTCTCGCCGGGGTGCGGTGTCCTGGAGAAACTGCGATCGGTGGTCGGGGTAGAGGACAGACTCCAGTCCTGCCTTTGCTACAGGACTCGGGGTGGGGGTGGGGCCCTGGCAGCCAAGCGAGGCCTCTGTTTCCCCATCAGTTACATGAGGGAGTAACCTGGGTCAGTGGTTTTCAAGCATTAGTCTGCATGAAGATATCCAGGAAATGTGCTGAAAATTCAACTTTTCTTCTGGGTCTCTTCCTTCCCCAGGTCTGTGGCAGGGCCCCCATACTTGCATTTTTAATGAGGGGCTCCTTGAAGCAAGTGGTTACTAGACCCGACTCTGAAAGCCAGTGAATTAGAAGGTGTCCTTAGACCTAAAGTTCTCTGTGTTTATGATTCTAGATTATAAGCAAACACACACACCAAAGATTCTGTTTGAGACCAGCCCAATGAATTTTCCAAGTAAGAGTAAATTTCTTTGGCTTAGTATCAGCAAAGAACAAAAAAAGATGATGCTTGCTGGGACTGCCAAGGGAGACTTGAAGGGACAACCCTTCCATATGAGAAGACACTTTCTCTCCCCCGGAGCAGCAGCAGGACCACTTACGGTCCTGCAGATGGAGGGCTGAGCTCTTCAGCTCCTGTTTGCCAACTGTCACGGACTGAATGGTGTGCCCCCAAGTCACAGAGCCAAGCCCCTATATGGTGGTGTTAAGGGCGGGGGCTTTGGGAGGTCATGAGGTTTCGATGAGGGTGGAGCCCCCACGATGGGATTTGTGTCCCTACAAGAGGAGGAAGAGACACCAGAGTGGCTCCTCTCTGTGACCAGAGGACACAGGGGGAAGGTGGCCGTCTGCCAGCGAGAAGGATGGGGGCCGACCATGCTGGCACCCTACTCCCAGCCCTTCCCAGCCTCCGGACTGTGAGAAATAAACGTCTGTTGTGTAAGTCCACAGTATTTTGTCACAGGAGCCTGAGCTAAGACATCGATCGACCTACTCTTTTCTAGAAGAAAGGCAGGATTTCTAGATTTTATTGACAATGAAGTTCAAAGAAAAATAAATTTCTTCCAGGTAGCAAATGCCCCAAGCCTCTCAATTTAGTTTTCTCCCAGACGAAGGAAAAAAAGAACACCAACCAAACAGGGAAAAAATACACCTGTTCGGTGGTGCCGCAGCTGTGAAGTCATGGCCCGTGCACGGGAGTCATCAGTGAAGGCTGTTGTGGGGGTTCTGCCACTTTAAGCAAAACAAGGTGTAATGAAGCCAACTTTAGCACAGGCTAATTGACGGGAACAAGGGTTACCACACTTTCCTGGGTACACTGCACATCCACATTTTTTGTGTGCACGATACACAGGGTTGTTATGCCTGTAGTATGTAATCATTATACCCGTGTATATAAAATGTGCATCCTTGTTTTTTCCTCAAATTTTGGGCAAAATGTGTGCACTATGCACAGCAAAATGCGGTAAGTTCCCATGCAGGCATCTCAACAACCTATACAGAAACAACGTTGAATGAAGACGTCGTTTGAAGACTTGTGTACGGTCTCTTTTGTGCTATTACTGGCAAAGGTGCGATTCCTCCCTGTCTGACTGCTGTCACCTGTGAGCACCCCGGCTCCGTCGTCACCAAATCCCACCCCACAGCAAGAATAAGATTAAATAAGAATTTTCTATACAAACAAGTGAGAGAGTGCTGAGTATCTGTTGTGTAACATGCAAAAAATTCAAATTTACCATTATAATAACTATTATTATGGCACCTTCAGATTTCAGTTGCTTAACAGTAGCTGTTTTCGACTTCAAGTTTTGAAGGAGGAGCAAAAATGGGTGGGAGTCAATGGGGAAGAGGCCTTAAAAGGGGCACCACAGGGCGTGAGTATGAAGGGAAGGGCACAAATACTACAGAGGCAAAGTGTAGAAAAATACACCTGAAAGCCGCCCAAGGTAGGACCGGCGTGGCCCACATACCCAGGTTGCTGAAGAACTCCCCCACCATGCCGTCCGGGTTTGCTGTGGGGATCTGGGTGAGGCCCGTCAGGATGAGAACATCGCTGCTTTTGAGAGATGCTTGGTCCATGGGCTGAAAAACCAGAGAATCGCGTTTAGTAATTTAGAAAGAGATGTTATGCACAAATAGTAAAGGAAAACAACATCGATGCTGCTCTTTATCACCAGTCCTTATGGGGTGATGAAAAATACGTCTGGACTGGGGTGGTGAGCACATGGTATCAGAATTCACCGGACTGTACATTTAAGATCTTAGGGTTTCACTATATACCAACTTTACTCCAGTGAAAAAAAGAAGAGTTCTATACTGCTTTTGTTCTTTTCAAAATATCTCACATTATCACAGGCAGTTCTCGAACTCGAGGGTGAATTGGAATCACCTGGAGAGTTTGCTGAACTCAGGTCTGCAGTGGGCCTGAGAATGTGCATTTCCGACAGGCTCCCAGGAGCTGTCCCTGGGGCCCGTGTGGGGGGTCATGCCGTGAGAACGACTGTGCAGCATAATGCGATTCTCAGATCAGCTCTGCAAAGTATGAAATCGGCGTTTGTTACGAGAAAACAGAAGTTGGGACTCAGGCGCTGAGGTGGTTTTCTGTAAGTCTCAGCGGCAGAGGAAGCAGGCAGAGCACCAGGTCAGGAATCAGAAACGAAGCTTCCTTCCAAGCCTATTAGTAGCCACATGACCTCGGCCGAGGCCCTGAGCCGGGTTGCTTGTAAAATGGGCATATTTCCTGACTCATCTCCCTTGAATGAGCTCTCAGAGTCTCCTGAGCTAATATCCACAACATTCTTGTGAACTGGGAAATCTTCTGACACCGTGTTATGGGATCCTTAGGAGGTGTGGTTTTTATCTTTACCTGCACAATCTGAATTCTTGATTTGTTTCTAAATAAATCAAGATTCAAACTGGAAACAAAACTGAAGGCCCACGATCAAGATGCTAGAGAGCCAACTCATTTTCACTTGGTAACAGACACCCCTTTACCTCAGTGTCATTCAATATCTCATTGGAACGTTAGAAGAAAAGGCCAGAAACACCGTTCACTAAGAGGCCTCACCCCTCCTTTCTCTGTTCCACCCAGATTTTCCAAAAAAAGAAATAAAATTCCAAATTGTAGCCCAGCAAGACCCACCATCTGCACTGTTATCTCTGAGTATATGTGCCTTTTGATATATTTTCTTTTTTTTAAGATTTTTTTTTTTAGATTTTTTTAATTTATCTTTAGAGGGGAAGGGAAGGAGAGAGGGAGAGAAACATCAATGTATGGTTGCCTCTTGTGTGTCCCCTGCTGGGAACTGGCCTGCAACCCAGGTATGTGCCCTGACTGGGAATCGAACCGCGATCGTGTGGTTCTCAGGCCCGTGCTCAATCCACTGAGCTACAACCAGCCAGGGTGATGTATTTTCTTTTAGCATTTTATATAGCCTGGATATACAGGCTTCATTATTTTTTTAAATAACATGACTATTGTGATATAAGCTGTGTTATAACCTGAAAAACATTTCTTTAATGAGAGTACAGAAAAAGTATGGCTATAATGAGACTGAACAGACAGCTTCTACTCTCTGTTTGCAGATGTACGCTGACGCGTATAAAAGCTCCTCTGGTGCGTGGCAAAACTGATCTGTCTACCTGTGCTTCTCCAACACACACGCACCCATTCACGGCCTCCACAGAAGGAAGGGAGGGGCAGTGAAGGGCAGCGGTTTACAGCAGCACATGTATAAGGAGACTGGGAACACTGACTGTGTCATGCAGCAAACACAAGGAAACCGGAATGGTGACAAAGGGGACCAGGCTTCGTTGGGTACCATTTTCCGCTTAAAATGGTAATAATTTTATATGCATCTTATTAGATAGAACAAGCCAACGATGATCCCCAGGGCTGACAGAAGGTGGGGGAATTGAGAAGGTCCAGAAAAAGCCCTGAAATGGTACACACAATTCTGCGTGTGCCTGTGTACATTTTTCTACAGATTTAATTGGATTGTCTTATGGGCCGTGAGCCCAGAAAGTTAAGAACTACTGATCTAAATGAAAACATATAACGGAGAACAAATTCTGGCCCTTAAAACATTACCTCCGAACCTCAGCCATCACCATTGTCTTCCTCTGAAAATTAAATGACCACAATAAACAAACAAACAAACAAAAACAGCAGTCCTATATGATTCCCATGTACCTAATACACAAAACAAACACAGGGAGGCTGCCAAAATGAGAAGATGAAGAAATATACCCCAAATGAAAGAACAGAACAAAACTCCAGAAAAAGAACTAAATGAAATGGAGATATACAACCTACCAGATTCGGAGTTCAAAAATACTAGTTATCAGGATGCTCAAAGAACTCACTGGGTACTGCAACAGCATAAAAAAGACGCAGGCAGAAATGAAAGTTGCATTAAATGAAATAAAGAAAAATCTACAGGGAATCAACAGTGGAGGGGAGGAAGCCGAGAATCAAATGAACAATCTGGAACACAGGAAGAGAAAAGCATTCCATCAGAACAGCAAGGAGAAAAAAGAATTAAAAAATATGAGGATAGGCTTAGGAACCTCTGAGAAATCTTTAAACGCACCAACATCCAAATCATAGGGGTGCCAGAAGGAGAAGAGGAAAAGCAAGAAATTGAAAACTCATTTGAAAAACTAATGAAAGAAAACTTCCCTAAACTGGTGAAGGAAATAGACATGCAAGTCTAGGAGGCACAGAGTCCCAAACAGGTTGGACCCAAAGAGGGCCACACCAAGACACATTGTAATTAAAATGCCAAAGGTTACAGATAAAGAGAGAATCTTAAAAGTAGCAAAAGCAGAGAGTTACCTACAAAGGAGTTTCCGTAAGACTGTCAGCTGATTTCTCAAAAGAAACTTTGTAGGCAGAAGGGACTGGCAAGAAGTATTCAAAGTGGTAAAAAGCATGAAAAGCAAGAACCTACAACCTAGATGACTCTATCCAGCACAGCTATCATTTAAAATGGAAGGGCAGATAAAGTGTTTCCCAGACAAGGTAAAACTAAAGGAGTTCATCATCATCAAGCCAGTATTATATGAAATGTTAAAGGGAATTATATAAGAAAAAGAAGATCAAAACAGTGAACATTAAGATGGCAATAACTTCAAAACTATCACTAACTGAACTCAAATAACTAGGCAAACAAGCAGAATAGGAACAGAATCATAGATATGGAGATCATTTCGAGGGTTATCAGTGGGGAGGGGGAAGGGGGAAAAGGTGCAGGGAATAAGAGGCACAAATTGGTAGGTACAAAACAGACAGGGGGATGTTAAGAACAGTATAAAAAATTGAATAGCCAAAGAACTTATATACATGACCCATGGACATGAACTAAGGAGGAGGGGCATGGCTGGAGGGAATGGGGGTACTGGGTGTAGGGGGACACAACTTGGGACAACTGTAATAGCACAAGCAATAAAATATATTTAAAAAAAGAAAATAAGCCCTGGCTGGTGTAGCTCAGTGGATTGAGCGCGGGCCTGCGAACCAGACAATTGTGGGTTGATTCCCAGTCAGGGCACATACCAGGGTTGCAGGCTGGTTCCCTGCAGGCCAGTTCCCGGCAGGGGACGCATGAAAGGCAACCATACATTGATGTTTCTTTCCCTCTCTCCTTCCCTTCCCCTCTAAAAGATAAATAAATTTAAAAAAAATCCAAAACAAAACAGAATTTAAAAGAAAAATATAATTATATACAAAAAATTAAAATAAAAGGGTAACGTAATTCCATGTGTTGCAACAATTTCATGGTTTGAAAACCTTGTCAAAATGAATAAATGTGATAAAACCGGCAAATTTTTGACTCATAAAATATAGCTCAATAACCATGCAAAAAATTAAAATGGTAATCCCTGGCTTAGACAGTTTGATGGGGAATTTGACTTTCAAGAAAAGATAACCCCCACAGGGGAGTGGGAGGGGGAGAAAGAGGGAAAAGGTAGAGAGAGTAAGTAGCATAGACAGTAGATAGAAAACAGACAGGGGGAGAGTAAGATTAGTATGGGAAATGTAGAGAAGCCAATGAACTTATAGGTACAACCCACAGACATGAACTGAAGGGCAGGAAATGTGGGGGCGGATGTGGGTGGGAGCGGGTGTGCAGGGCAGAGGGGAGTGAAGCAGGGAAAATGGGACAACTGTAATGGCATAATCAATAAAATATATTTTAAAAAGATAACCCTTACCATGTATATTTATGGCAACAGAAAAAGGAGAAAAGGAGCCTAAATCATTTAATGAGACTAATTAATGTAACTCGCTTCCAGAGATAGAAGAAAGTAATACATGGGTTCATTTTTCACTTATGAATATGAATAATAACTCGAATAAAATACCAACTGATTCCAGGTGGGCATTTCATAAAGAACAAATTGTGCCCTGACTGGTGTGGCTCAGTGGGTTCAAAGGTCACTGTTCAATTCCCAATCAGGGCACATGTCTGGGTTGTGGGTCAGGTCTGTGACTAGGGGCATGCAAGGAGAGGATGTTTCTCTTCCTCTCTTTTTCTCTCCCTTCCCCTGTTTTTAAAAGTAAACAAATAAAATCTTAGAAAAAAAAAAGAATTGTGATCACGTAACATTTATCCAAGGGATGCAAGGATGGTTAAATGTGAGAAAAGCTAACATTATAATTCACTATATTAATGCTCTAACGAAAAGAAATCATATGATTGTCTGGCAGACTCAGAAAAAACGTTTGTAAGGTACAATGTCTATATTTGATTTTTAAAAATCAGAAAATTAAGATTAGAGGAGAAGCTCCTTAAGTTGATAAATACAAACCTATAGTAAGCATGTAGTTAGCAGAAACTACAAAAGCATTTCTTTTACAATCTGGTACAAGGCAAGGATCATCACTTCCGCTGAGACGGGACTAGAGAGTCTACTTGCAAGATGGGAAAAAGAAGTAAAAGATACAAGGACTGGAAGAGAAGGGACAAAACTGGTACATCTTTGCAGATGTGGTCATCAGCCAGTGAACACTAGAACCAATGTGAGAATTCAGCATGGGTGTGGAATATCAGATAATTAACTAAGAACGTTAATGCTGAGGCCCTGGGCTCAGTCAAGGCTGGTCCTCCTCTTCCACCTGGGGTGCTGCACTTTTTTTGGCCTCATCTCCTGCAACTCTCCAAACATTTTTAATTCAGGACTATTCTCCTACCTTCCACTGTCTATTGGTAAGTGTTCCCCGCAGCCCCGTCTTTCTCCCTCAGCCCTTCATTTATATGCTTTCGAAACCTGAAGACTCCCCAATTTGTCTCCAGGCTTGTGTGCAATCCGTGCCCCAGCTTGGTGTCTCTCTCGAACTCCTATTCATCACACCAGTCACCCTTTCCACAGCCAACGCCCCACCAACTCCTCCTTGTCAACTGGGTTAGTGTCACTACCACCATTCTCAAGGCCGTCTAGGTGTGAAATCTTTGACTTGTATTCTTCTTTCCCTGGAGACAGTGAGCATTCCATATACACTTGTTGAATGGCAGGACTGCCGACGTTTTCTTTACCTTCTCTCCCCATTGCTGCCACCTCAGGTTTAGTCAAAGCCTCGTCCCCCTGGGCGGATCTGATCGCCAGAGCAGCCCGCCATACTCACCCCCTAGCTGGTGGGGGCTCCGCTCACGTCACGTGGGCCAGTGCTGGCCTTTTCCCATCAAGCCTGAGGCACCCCCGCCACAGTGGTGTGCGAACAGCCGTTCACAATCCATAAACACATGCATGTGGCTGCACTCTGGCAAAACACGATTTACAAAAACAGGTGTGGGGGTTCCAGTTTGGTCCATGGACCAGAGTTTGCTGACCTCTGAAGTAGACTAGGAAGTTTTCTCAAACCCAAACTTTTCTTATCCCCGCTAATTCAATATAGAATCCAATTATCTGGGTAAAAGAAAATCTAATTTATTTTCTTTTTTTACATACAATACTGATTGCAGGTAAGAATTAAAATTAATTACTTAAGTATGTTGCTCATTACTTTCAAAACCTTATTTTCTCTTTAAATTTATGAACCTCGTAAGAATAATTTACTGGAAATGACATCAATGGTCCTGTAACGGTTTGATGTAAGCGGGACAAACAGGAAGACTTGGCAGCCAAGTAATCCTTCTGTCTTTCCTGGAGGAATAGATCAGGAATGATAGAAGCTGCCAATAAAAAATTTGATTCAATGAAGCTGATTAAGATGACATTGATGGGCTTTTGATTTCAATGAGCGGGAAAGGCCCAGAATTCTGCTAGCTATAGGAAAAAATTACAGCTTGTCCCCTCTAGACCTTGAGATGAAACTTAATTATACAAGAAGGAATAAAGAGCCAACGCAGAGTGGCAGCCCAGGCGCACCCTACTGTTCCAGGCTTCCAGCAGCCACTCTTTTCCCCACAGTGAAACGGGCCCTGGACTTGCCCAGCCACCGCCACGCAGCCACCCACCTACCCACCGTCTGCAACTATGCCCCACCCTCCTCTACAAACATGGGGAGGACTAAGATTTTAAAAGTGAGTAATAAACTCTACAAATACCTAGGATGGAGTAAATAATACATTTACAACAATTTTTTAAATGACTATTTTTTTTAAAGTTCTTTTTTTTTTTAAAAAAGATTTATTTATTTTAAGAGAGAGGAGCGGAGAAAGAGAAAGAGAAGGAGAGAAACATCAGTGTGTGGTCGCTTCTCATGTGGCCCCCACTGGGGGACCTGGCCTGCAGCCCAGGCATGCGCCCTGCCTGGGAATGAAACTGGTGACTTGATTTGCAGGTCCACACTCAATCCACTGAGCTACGCCAGCCAGGGCCGAATGACTGTTAATGAATGACCAACTTAAAGTCTTCCAATAGCTTCTCTCTACACATTAAAATAGAATCGAAATTTCTCATTGTGGTCTACCAGGTGCTATATGACCGGGCCTCTCTGCTAATCTCTCAGACATCTCTGCCGACGAAGCTGTTTGCACAGTGAGTGCGCTGCAGGTCACAATGGTCTTCCCTGCCTGCGAACACCCCCATGCCCCTGCACTGGGGGCCCTTCACCGGTGGGGTCTCGGTGAGGGGGCGCCTTCACAGCCCTATGTGGCTCACTGCTTCAGGCCTGGGTTCCAATGAGAGCTCCCCCTGAAGCTTTCTGTGACCAGCCGATCTAGTCTCTAACCCTCTATACATAACCCCACTTAGTTGGTTTCAGTAATTATAACACAGTGAAATTACCTCGCTCATTTATTTTCTGCATACCATCCTCTCTCCACACAGCAACTGAGCTTAGATTCCTGAGCGAGGACTTTGCCTGTGGGTCATCCCTGAATCTCTAACACCTAGAGAGGCTCCTGGCACAGAGTAGGCCTTTAGTAAATAGTAAGTAGTTAATGGCTGCTGAGTAAACAGGTGTCTGTCTCTCTCCTACATCAGGCTGTGATTGTTATAAGCACTGGGAAATCTCAAAACCTTAGAGGTGACGCTAGAGGCAGCAGATCTTATGGAGGGACCTGAGATTTAAATGTCGGGACACAGTAACCTCACGTTGCTGAAGAGTATCTGCAGAACATGAGGCTTCAGCCCAGCAAGCTGTGTACGCTCCAGAGACCCGCTGCACAACACCACGCCCGTGGTCCACGATAACGTAATAGACAGCCACAAATTTATTAAGAAGCTAGGTCTCATGTCAAATGCTCTTACTACAATTTTTTTAAAAGTGTCTACAGAAACAAAAATTAGGAAGATTAAAAAACTGCTCATGGGCCCTGGCTGGTATAGCTCAGTGGATTGAGCACGGGCCTGTGAACCAAAGGATCGCGGTTCGATTCCCAGTCAGGGCACATGCCTGGGCTGCAGACCAGTTCCCAGCAGGGGACACACAAGAGGCAACCCATACACTGACATTTCTCTCCCTCTCTCCTTCCCTTTCCCTCTGAAGATAAATAAATAAAATCTTTAAAAAAAACACAAAAAGAAAACTGCTGATGGTACTCTGGATAAATTCTGAATTTGGGCTAAATAACCAAAAAGCTGAGTTGCTGAGTGAGAGGTTAGTTACCTGGGGATGTGTGGTGAGCAGGGAGGACCCCGAGACGTACGACACTTTCTCGTAATGGGACTGAATGATCCAGTTGGAGCTCCCGAGGGCATAGCCGGAGCTCAGAGGGGTCACCTGGACGGCACCGAAAAGCTCCTGGAAAGGAACCACAGTGAGAGGGAGCGTGAACTCCCCGCAGTGCTGTCTGTCGTGCCGACACACCTGCAGGAGAAAACCACAGAAGTATCCTCCTCCACTTGGGAACTATTTCAAAGGAAACGAGAGAGTGAAGTAAAACGGCAGCAGAGACCGTGTGGCAGACACGGAAAGCCACTCGCGAGCTCTCAGCTGTTACCTCTCTGAGAGTTCCAGCCCATCCGCACGTCACCAGGCACTCGGGCCTCGCTCATTAAGAGGCAGAGATGATATGTTACCAAATAAATCAAAGAGACAATACTTCGGTTTTCTTTTTCTTTTCAGGTCAGGTGTTATTCTCGTGGCTGTTGTGTACTCAGTGGCTCTGGGCACAAGTTGACAGAAACAGGAACCTCGCCACTGCCAGATCAGAGCTCAAGTTATACTTGCCGAATTGTTTCTTGATCTCTTTTATGCTGTTTCCTATTTCACTTGCTCGAAGTCTGTAAAATAGTATCCACTATTCTAAAGTGAAAAGAAGGAGATGGCTTTGTCCTGACGTACTGCACGCTGGCCAATCAAATGCTCGCTAGTGATGGGAACGTAACAGTTAGGAAAGGGCACCAATAAGAACCTGGGAGGCATGGAGGAGAGCGACAGACACTGTTCGACAGATGCTGTTCTGTCTTTTCAACGTGTACTGGTACAAGCTTCTTAGTGATCAAATGGCTTGTAAAAGGGAACCATGGGATCCTACCAAAAAACAACATATGAACCGGAAGCATTCATTAGTCACTTAAGATCACACCAACACTCACGATTTTCTGAGAATATCCCACCAGCTGGATTTTACTGAGGGCAGAGTTCACCTCTTGCAGGGTGTAGCACCTCCTCCAGGCCGACACTTCCACGGCATCCTTGAGAGGCGACGGCAGCAGCCTGCGAATGCGTCACAATGTCGACTCTGTTACAGAGATTCCTTCACTTTGTCCTTTTCATCCAAGTTGTCTAACGTATCGGCACATAACTGCTCACAGCATTCGTCTGTAACTGTCTTTGACTCTGGGGGTCATCCTGCCCCCACTGTCATTTCTAGTCATCTGAGTGTTCTCCTTCTCTTTGTTTCCTATTGGTCCATCTCACTCAAGGTGTGTTAGTCTTGTTGATCTTTTCAAAGAACAAACTTTTGGGTCACTAATTTTCTCTGTTTTCTTATTTTCTGTTTACCCAGCACATAACTGGGTCTTTTTATTTTTTATCCAGTCTGATACTTTGTTATTTGATTGAATTAAGCCATTTACATTTAATATTATTATTATTTTTAAAATTATTTATTTATTTATCTTTAGAAGGGAAGGGAAGGAGAGAAGGAGAGAAATATCAATGTATGGTTGCTTCTAGTGCATCCCCTGCTGGGAACTGGCCCCTGTTGGGAACTGGCCTGCAACCCAGGCATGTGTCCTGACAGGGAACTGAACCGCGATCTTTTGGTTTGCAGGCCCATGCTCAATCCACTGAGCTACACCAGCTGGGGCTCCGTTTAACATTATTATTAATATAGATGGCTTATGTCTCCTCATTTTTATTTCCTATATGCCACGTCTTTTTCTCCTCTATTCATTTTTTACCATTTTTAAAAAATAGTAACTGAATATTTTCTGATGTAGCCTTTTAACTTCTTTCATGACTTTTTCACTTTTCTTAAAGTTATTTATTTCCTTAGGTTGTTCAAGGGCTCACCATATCCACCTTAATATAGAGCCTTTCTATATAACATCTCACATTCTCTTCCCTGTTCACAAAAAGATAAATGAAATAAACTTTACTTACGGGGCTGCAAAGCTACAGAAATGAGCTGGGGTAAAAACAAATGAGGCTTGGCATAAAAGTGGAAGTAAAACGTGACCTGTGATCTTTCAGACCAGCACGAGGAGCATCCATTCAAACAAGCAGACAAACAAAAAGGTGTCATTAGAAACACATTTCATCACTGACCCCAACATCATCAAGAGCAGACCTGGGCAGGGACTTCTCTGAGATGCTTAGTGCAGTACAGGGGAAGGGGCGCCCCGGGAACCGAACATGCGCATCAGCTCTGCTCTCGCCCGGGAGTTCACTGAACACTAACAGTGAAGGGCTTCACACCCCCCTTCAAGGCAAAGAAAAGGAGAGAAGAGACAATAGCAAGAGCATTTTGGGAAGCGGAAAGTAGGACAAATGACAACTGACTTAGATGCAGGAAAATCCAGTGCATGTAACTTAGTTTGCAGAACCCACAGAAAGCTCAGCAACTGGAAACAACAGGTACCTATGGAAATGAAGTTGAAGGTGGACCTAAAAATAAAAGGATTTGTTGAAAAAAACTGATGAAGAAATAGAACCTTCGGGTTCTCCTCACCTATTCCACACAGTTCAGTAACTGTGCCCCCCGCCTGCGCCCCCCAAGGCATGTCCCAGAGGTTCTTCTCTGGGGAGAGTGAAATTGCGAGTCTGGACAAGGGGAAACCATCAACGACCGAAGGAAGCTTTTTAAGCAAAAGTTTACATACTGCCAGCAAAAATGTTCCCATCACACAGCTCCCAAAACAGGCAGGCTTACACCCTCCAGGGTGGGGGACTGGGCAACTTCCTCTGAAAAATCTGATCAGCACCAAGGAAAATCCAACCCACAGACACCGACACTGAGGGCTTCACCAGACCATGTTCTGACCAAGTCTGGGATTCAACCAGAACTGCTCACAGCACACGGACACGCCACCAGGTTTTACTGTCTGACTTGTGAACGTGGGCCCCAAACCAAGGATCTCCCTGCATTTGAGGAAAGTGTCTAAAGTGATAAAGGCCAAACAAACGGAGGAAGAGGAAAGGAAACATGAGAACATGCGTTAAGCAGCTAGAATATTACTATCCTTAGAGAGATAAATAAGATAGGGCACCTGGGAAATGAGGACATAATTCAACCACAAAAGGTGAGGCCTTAAGGAAATAAAAAGAGCACTTGGAAATAACCACGTGACAGCATATAGGTGATGGAAGCGTGCCAACAAAGCATGTCAAGATTTTAAAATAAGTTAAAAACATTAAAAATTATACAAGATGTGAAAGACCCACATAAATGAAAAAATCAGAAGAGCTTAAAAATAAAGTGAATACTCACTAAAACATCAGAAATCCTAAAATCAGAAATGAAGATTAAACTGACATACAAAAGTGAAGACCCACAACAAATAATGCTGTTAAGTAAAATATAGGAAGGAAAAAAAAACTAAAAAGAAATAAAGAGACAAAAAGGATTTGGAAGAAAGTGGCAATGTGGCCTGAAGACAGGCGAGGAGCTGTGACACAGAGACCATCGGAATCTCTAGTAGAAAAGCCACGCAAGGCAACAGACACACACTGCAGACCATCACTGCTGAACTAAAAGGAGGCTTGAAACTCTATTCTGAAAAATCATGCTGCACACCTGGCAATACCAACGCCGAAGAACTAACACCAGTTATATTCTGGGAAAATATTTAGTTTGTATAAGAAACGAATAGAACTTTGGGTGTATAGGCAAAAAGAGAAAGTCACTAATAAGAAAAAAAATTAGATGCGATCAGAATTTTCAATAGTAATGTATTTACTGGAAGAAAACACAGTAACATACTTAAGACACCTGAGGAAAGAAAATGCAATCCAAAAACTGTACATCTAGGAAAACTGACTTCAAGGTCATATAGCACAGATAAACAAACAAATAAATAAGTAAGACTTGTAAGAACTTGGGGTATACTGCTCTTGCAACCCCATCCTGAGATCTTTTGAATGAGTTTCAGACCACCAAAATAATGATAGATTTATCAGTACATGTGTTGGCGGTGAGCATTAAATATATAGTTACTTGTAGAAGACCAAATGAAGGTTGGAAGGAAGAGAGGGTAACATATAATGCTGTATGTTCTGACAATATACAAGGTCTGTCCAGAAAAAGTCCAACCGTTGTTAATATAAGGAGAACAGTTTGCATGGCATTGATGTAACTTGACAACCCGGAAGAGTGGAGTGGAATATGCATGAATGAACAATGACAACTTCATGTACTAGTCTGTGTGGGGGGCAGATGCCATTGAGTGAGCATGTGTACTGTGTGGCCATCACATTCAAAATGACTGAGCCGGTAGACCAATAAATCTGTGTCAGATATTGTGTTAAGTTTGCACATTCGTCCACGGAAACTATTTGGGTGATTCAGAAGCCTGCAGCTATGAGCAACTGGTGATTGGCAGTTTTATCAGGACTATGTGCCTGCTGGTGTATCATGTCTCATGTAGAGCTTTTTGGTGAAACATCAGTCACCTGGATGACTCAGTCCCCCTACACCCAGATTTGGCATCCTGAGACTTCTGTCTTGTTCTAAAACTAAAATCACCTTTGACAGGGACGAGATTTCAGACCATCAGTGAGATTCAGGTAAATGCAACAGGGCAGCTGATGGCGACTGGGAGAATGTGTGAGGTCCCGAGGTGCCTATGTGTTTCTTGTATCTTGTATCTTCTTTAATAAATGCTTCAATTTTTCACAGTATCTGGCTGGATATTTTCTGAACAGACCTTGTATAGTAAAAGTATATTTTTAAAAAAGGAAGAAAATATATATGATCTGTCTTCCAATAAGGCCTATAAGCAATGACCAATTCGAAAACAAAGAACACTGTTAGCAACCAGAATGGGAGCTAAAAACTTCATTTCCCACTAAAAGAATCCAGAGTTTCTTGGAGAAATGGGAGATTCCAGATTTAGGGCAGGGAACGTACAGAGGACTTTTAAACGTCCTGCGACACTGGACAGCAAAAAACCCCCGAGACTACAAAGGTCATACTGAAAGGACAGATGACTCGAGGAGGCACTGCACTGCCCGAGGCTTGAGAGAGGACAATTCTGCCCTGGGTTGGAGTCCACGACCCGTGTCCGGAGAGTGGGCTGTGATGAGCCTGGGGCACGTGGAGGGCTTCAGAGTTACTGGAAATCTCCTGCTCCTTGACCTGTCTAGTATTGGTAAGGACGTATTTTAAGGGTGGTTGCTGTATAATAGTAATAATATATATGCGTGTGTGTGTGTATATAAATATATAAATTTTGTGGGTTTTTGTTATCTGCATTTTATAACAGAAAAGCTAATATAAAAACAGAGAAACCTATGTCCAAATAAAAAATGATAGCAAAAATAAAAAACTCATAGTGAGGTTGGGAGGTAGAGTTAAAAGAATATCCCAGACAAGACAACAACAAAAAAAAAGAGAGAGAGAGAAAAGAGGAGAGAAAAATGTGAGTGCCAGTCCAGGGGGTTCACCTTCTAAATAACAAGAGTTGCAGAAAAAACACAAAAAAGAAGAAAACTTTAATAATAACAGGAAAAAAAACATTTTAAAACCAGAATTGAAGTTCTTGATTTTCTAGGTCGGGGGTCAGCACACCTCTTCTCTAAGGAGCCACAGATATTTTAAGCTCTGCAGGCCACACGCAGTCTCCGTCAGGCCATTCAGCGTGGCCATGTGGTGCCACAGACCACGTAAATGAGTGACTGTGCCGACAAAACTCCATAAAGACAGGGGCAGGCCGGCTCTGGCCCACAGAACAGGGGCCTGGTCACAGCTGCCACCCCTGTTCTAAATTGAAAAGGCCCTCTAAGTACTCGGCATGAGAATGAAAACTGTCCTTTCAGGAGACATCACCAACTTCAAGAACAAAGAGCAGAATCTAAGTTTCCACAGAGGAATCAACAGGATACATATAAAAAATGTACACTCAATAGCACTGGACTTTTCAACAGCATTTCTAGGAGCTAGAAGAAAATAGAGAAATGCTTTCAAAATTCAAAAAAAAAATCACATGTTATCTGCATTTATACCAGCGTGTGAGGGTAGAACAAAGGCATTTTAGATGTGTGGGGTCTCAGAT